TTCAAGCTCCGACCCAAACCTGGCAAAGTGAGATTAGTAACTGAGCGCTCGATCGCGCGTGGTTTCCAAGCATACCTCCGCGTCGTCCTTGATGTTCGGCGGGTGAGGAATGAATCCGACCGGCTTGCGCTTGAACAAGACCTTGAATGTGTTAGTGTTGTCCTTTTCCCTCTGTGTATGTTCCTGCGCGCGGTGCGTCATACCATTTTGCAGGATGGTCGATCAGCCCAAGGCCGGCTTGGGTGTGGGTTCGGGAATCGAGGTCGCGATCAGGTTCGGAGGAGTCGACCGAGCCGATTAAAGCTATGGCTTGATCGACTTGGGTTCGGAGCTTGAAGTGTTCGAGTTGGTTGATGGATTGAGCGTCGCGGCGATTTCGCGCGTCGGTGGTGGCAGAATTGGCACAGCTCGTGCAAACGCGCGTGGTTGACTTTTCGGGTTGGCGGTCGTGGTGACAATGTAGGAGCAATGGCGTAGCAGGAGTAGTACGCGTTAAGAGGATTGTGGACGCGCGCGTGATGGTGTTGCTGGACGAGGATGGTGATGGGGAGGCAGATGCGTGACGCGGAGGTCGTGGTCGCGGACAGGGAGAGAAGGTGGTGAAGAAAGTGCCCTGGTCCCCGCGACGGCACTTTAAGCTACTAACGACTCTGACGTCCACCTTGCCCAGGCCGACATTGTTCGCGCATCGGGGCGGGAGTGCCAGGGTGCCGCTTCCACTAGCGCCAACGCGCCTGCCCTCGAAAGCCTTCCTCCTGGCGCTTCTACCATGTGAGCTTTTCAATTGTGCACCTGATTGCTTGTGTTGAGCTCAACTATGTCAAATGTATACTCATTTGAAACGGCAGATCAAGAGTAATTAGATGTCTACACCCGGGACTCATAACTTCTGGAATTATGCATGTGATAGAGCCGCGAAAATAAACAGCCTAGTGACCCTGGATCTTCACACTCCTGAACAGAGCCCTTCAGCCAGATGGCACTCAAAACTCACGGTACATTTATTATCTGGGATCTCTTTACTCACAGCGCTTGGTCTGAAGAGACGGTCTTTCGCATTGACAGCTTGGCTTCATCTAACAGGCAACTCCATCAGAAGCAACATGCCTCATTTAAATCCAAAGCCTTGCTCTCTCACACGTTGAGCAACGTTATTCATGGGACGTCTTCGTTCAAGCATAGCGTCTCACTCGGATTGATAAGGTCGCTTCGTATATCTAGTTCAAGGTTCAGTCCGAGTCTATTGCGGACCCAGTCAGGTACATAGCAGTCCTGATACCTGCCACATGCGACAGGACAGACCCGATCCTTGCGTGAGAAAGTGACCTGAACAGGCAGAGAGGAGCATGGTAGGTAGTAGGTACTGATTACATCATCTCAAGCCAGAGCTCTATGCTGCCCTCAAACAGACGCATCTCGTTCATACGTTATTGATGCTCTCACTAAGCTCCATGTGAGGCTTCTTCAAGCTCATTGGAGATCTCGATCACATTGTAGCGTCTGCAGGTAACTGCTCAAGACCACTTCAGAATGAGCATTGCCACTACATCCGAGTCAGTCAGTCAAGGACGAAGTGACTCTGCAGACCCCCGTCCGTCTATTGCGGCTGTCAGTTTTATGGATCTGCGTCGAGATGACACTCTCACAGGTAGAAAGGTTCGTGATAGCTGTAGATGCGACCTTACGCTACGACCGGTGGAGAGCATTGATCGTATCGGCAGGAACTTTCTATACTGCAACTTGCGTACGCCAACTCGGTGCAGCGTGAGATGTGCCTTTCGTAAGATTCACGGCAGCCGGAGATATACTCCCTGTTTAGCGTCCAGCAATGAGGCTATATCGTTTGACTGCCTTTCCGTGATTTATCAGAGAGATTCGGTTCGGTCGGTCATCTTGATTAACGTGAGTCGTCAATTGAGAAAACCTAGCTGCTGAAGTGCTGGATAGGCCATGCCGGAAGGATATACTCAAAGCTCGGTACCATGCTGGAGACAACATCCAGCGTCTGTGGACTGTTGCCAATCGCTTTTTCGGTTGGGCGAGCTTGCTTCAAAATATTCAATTCGATCGATGTGGAAGAAGTATCGTCTTGTCTTCAACTTGCATACATGGCGGCATAGGAGAACTTGAAGAAATTCAAATGTCAAAGTCACGTCCAAGACCTGCAGACCGTACTACATTATACGCCATGATCACAACTACATACCGCAACGAGAAATTTGCTTGTGAAAATAGAAAAGAAAGGGTCTCCTCCCGTCTTCTGCCGGAGCTTCTAGATCTCCCCCAACTCTCCGACTCGCAACTTTCTTGGAACAATTTACCACCAACCCAAAACAACCTTCAAACCCACCACCACCACAACAACAACACCAGAACTAAAACAACATGAAAAATGACAAACCTACAAGTCCAATTCAGTCAAACTCCTAAAAGCTGGCCAACTAAAACA